AGCCATGTAAATTGTAGCCTCAGTTTGCTGTTCTTAGATGACAGAAGTAGCACCTGGGGCCATAGCCACTATGTTAATACTGTGTCTTAAAGAGATAGTTCACCAAAAAATGAAAATTACCCTACAATTTACTCACTCTCAAGCCATTTTAGGTATATATGACTTTCTTCTTTCAGACGAATACAATTGGAGATGAAAAGCCCAGGTGAAGCAGTTGTCTGGTAATATATTGTTAAAAGCAGAGCTGTAATCGATGAAGAGCATGCAAACATAAGTCCCTTTGTGTTCCATGTGATCCAGTGCTATGTGTAGCTGTGGTAATTGCATCCACCATAGGTCTATTTGGCCTGGACGCAAATTGATGTGGGTTGAAGTCAGGAGGGAGGCTAGTTTTAATATGCCTCAGTACCAGTCTCTTAAAGCACTTCATAACAGTGAGAGCAATGGTCTGTAGTCACTTAGACTGTCGTTGTTAGGGTTTGAAGGGCTGCTGCCCTTGTAGTTTGTAATATGTTGTACTCCTTGACACACCCACCTAGTGTTGTTATCTGTGAAGTGGTTCTCAATCCTCCTTTTGCCATGCTGTACAAGGCCCTGTCTCATGACTTGAAGGCAGTATCCCATGATTTGAGGTGTTTGTGGATTTCTTTCGTCATCCATGGTTTCTGATTTTAATAGACTCGGATGTGTTTGTTCACTGTGACGTGTCAGAACAACTTGTAATGTAGAGGGTATGTAAATGGCTGTAGTAACCACTGTTGTTAGCTTTCTTGGCAGATAAATCTCGATATCCCATGAACAATGTTTATCTATAATGCGGCTTAGTGAACACCAGCCATTATGTACATATATGGAAACTCCTCTACCTCTGCTCTTACCAGAGTTTCCGTCATGATCTTGACGGTGCATAGTGCAACCTGCTATCTCTACAGCAGCGTTGGGAATGATTATCGTGATGCAACAGTCACAAACAAAGTTTTCAGCAGCAACCAGCAGCTTCATATTATCCATTTTTTGTACGATGGACCTGGCATTAGAGAGGAATATGCTTGATAGCTATGGTTTGTGGGTGGTTTCCTTAGCCCTGCCCAGCATCCCCGCTTCTGCTTCCTCTCTCTGTGCCGTCTTTGCCACTTGACGGACCCGATAACAATTCACTAAGACCCCTATGGTCTTGCAATGTCTGCGGGAATGTTGTGAGCCCGTTGATTGGAGTGTTTTTGAAGCTGCAACCACTGATCTGGGCGAGCTCATAGACACTGTAACATCTTACATCAGTTTCTGTGAGGACATATGCATTTCTACCAGGACTTATTTAACATACAACAATGACAAACCATGGTTCACAGCAAAACTCAGAAAGCTTTGCCAGGCCAAAAAAGGATGCCTACAGGAGTGGGGACAGAGTCTTGTACAATCTGGCCAGAAACACACTGAATAAGGAGATTAGAGTGGCGGAGAGGAGCTACTCTAAAAAGCTGGACAACCACTTTTCAGCCAATGACCTTGCTTCAGTGTGGAAAGGTCTGAAATACATTACAAACTACAAGAGACTATTCCCAGTATTGAGGCAAATCAACAACTTGCTGAAGACCTGAATGAGTTTTACTGTAGATTTGAAACTCCCAATCTCACACCGCACACCCGCTCTGACCATCTCTCTACACAAGCATGAACACCTCCAGCAACCCCCCTCTCCCCCCTCCTGCTCTTCAGATCAGTGAAGATGATGTGTGTCAGGTCTTTAGGAAACAGAAGAAAAGGAAACCACCAGGACCAGATGGTGTTACACCAGCCTCTCTAAAAACCTGTGCTGACCAGCTGGCCTCCATATTTTCAGATCACTGGAGCTGTGCGAAATCCCTTCCTGCTTCAAATGCTCCACCATCTTCCCCATCCCAGAGAAACCCAAAATCACAGGACTTAATGACTACAGCTGTGGCCATGAAGTCATTTGAAAGACTAATGTTGGCTTATCTGAAGGACATCACTGGACCCCCTGCTGTTTGCTTACTGAGCAAACAGGTCTGTGGATGATGCAGTCAACATGGGACTGAACTACATCCTCCAACATCTGGACAGATCAGGGACTTATGCGAGGATCCTGTTTGTGGACTTCAGTTTGGCTCTCTGTTCCTAGCTCTATCTGTCAATGGATCACCAGCTTCTGACAGATAGGCAACAGCTAGAGAGAATTGATAAATTCACATCCAACTCATATCTATTTGTCACGGGAGGAGCAAATGACAGACACAGTGGGTGTGGCGTCAGGCCTCAGAAAGGCTTTTATTAACAGAAAATCAACATTAAGTCAAAAAAAGGGGTAAAAGTGTCCAAAGGAAAAGAGTGTTCAAATTAAACAGGGGATCTGGTGTCCTCGTCATGCTGCGGGGTTCTTGAAGGTGGGGCAGCTTCTTCCAGCGGCTTCATCCTTCTCTTTGCCCACAGCGCTCAAAGGGACTAGATGGCTCGGCATCCTGGCCCGACGGCCATGTAACGGGTACGGTTCTTGTCCGGACCGCGGGTCCGGCACCTCGCATCTTCGGCGGCACGGAGATCCTTCAACGCTCCCTTCCTGGATCCACGAGGACACCAGCTCGGCATTTTAACAGTGGCTGTGATGAGGCTCCGTTCCCTTCAGTTGTGCCTCATCACACGCTGCCAGATCTGGATGATTCTGCGCCCCTCCTCTCTCACGCACCCACTCCTATTGGAGGGCAGCGATTAAGGGACGGGGTGATGATGATAATTAGGGGGGAGGCAGCCGACTCGTCACATGAGTCCCCTGGTTTTTCAATAAAACTATAATACTGAAATGAAACTAATGAAAATGGAGATTAAACAAAAATAATAAATTGCCGTATTAAATTAGACATGCTCATGTTACATCATATTTCGTTTTAAGTGTTTTACAGCGTTGCGCATTATAAATAATCACACACGATTCTGTTGCATTTATGAATGCAGTGGCCAATCAGAAGCATTCAGATGAGTCATCTCTGAATTACCTGAGTTTTGATCAGTGCGCGTGCTCACTGAATGAATTCTGACTGAAACTTGTGAAATTCTCTCATCATAAGCTACAAAGTACAGATGTACGTACAATGTAAGTAAGAGATTCATTTATCATAAAGTGTATGGACAGCTTCATTGATTATAACGGGAGTTTTGAGTGCTTAAACTCTGGCTAGACTGAAGTCAGTGATCTTTAATGTAAATGTTCTTTGCTCGCTTTCTCCATAATTTACTCACTGTTTGAATAACTGAAAATTAAAGTGTTATAATTAGTAACTTAGAATGTTTTTATTATATTGTGATCACTTTAAATACAAATTTGTAACACTATATCTGGTACTTGTCTAAAAAGACAGTCTATGATGCAAGTAGTTAATAGAGTACACTAACATTAGGCTACTTTAGCCTTATGCTGTAGTTGGCTCACTCTCTGCCTATGGGTAAGATATTTAATTCTTCTTTGCTTAATGATTGTTTGGTACACCTAATTAAACTGATATTGAAAAAGTTTATTTCTTGGAACAGTCATTAGGTTATTAGGTTTTCTCAACGATAAACCTAAAAAGCTTTGACAATTCGAACACTGGATGCAGGAAAAAAAGGGCTGATTTGTGACACTATTCTGTCTATCTAGTCAACCGGTTTATATACTGATGCAGGAGAGATCCAGGCAGAGGAAGTCTTTCAGTACAATTATTGTTTATTTAAAAATAATATCATAATTGGTAACAATTGCAGATGAAAATTATAATAAAAGATAAAAAATTAATGAAAAGGATTAAAATGAATAAAAAATCATATTCTGTATATGTATATTCTGCTAAAATGTCTAAGATAGGCATCTGATCTAAGTATAATAATCTTCAGAAGTCAAAAGACAAAGGCCTTTAGAGCATGTGAGGAGAGTAGAAGAAAAGCTGTCTGAAAAACCAATTAGAATAATATATATACTAGAGATGCTACAACAAAATCACAAGATGTTTTGGTCTGATCTATAGATGTCAAATTAATTTATCCACTGTGTCACTATCTACGTCCTGCCAACTGTGTTCTTCCATCTAAATTAACCTGAAGTTCAGAGCTAGGTCAGGTCACGTTGACATGACAATGAGATCAAAGAGGAGATACAAATGTAGCTGTGGTTTTTACACCTTCTGAGCAGAACAGCAGATCTTGGCAATTTTCAAATATCACACTGCAAATAGCAAATACCATCTCCTGGAAAAGAATATGTAGTACCACAAAGACAGAGGACAAATTTAGCAAACATTCCTGCAGAAAGTAAGTTTCCAACATCCTATCCAAATATCATAACATGTACACTGTAAAATATAATCCGTAAAATTTATGGTAAAAAACCGGCAGCTGTGGTTGCCGGAATTTTACCGTAAAAAATACGGTAGCAACGTTTTAGGTTTTATGGTATTTAACTTAAATTTACAGTTAAATACCGTAATTTCATTAACTGATATAATGTTAATATACCAACCTATTGAAGTACTGAAATCTGTTTTGTACCTTTGTAATACACTGATGACCACCAAATGCAGGAGGTGATGAGAATGTCACACGATGAACCAAAGCCCATCACAAGCAGCTTTTACATAATAACATACAGTGGGTACGGAAAGTATTCAGACCCCTTTAAATTTTTCACTCTTTGTTATATTGCAGCCATTTGCTAAAAAACATATACCAACTCTTTTACACATTGTTGCCACATTATATTTACCATTGAATAAAATTAATCTATTTTTTTTATAAAACAGGTAGAAAACGACGATGTTGGAACAACCAAATTCAGTCCAGATCAACATCTACAACAAGAAAAGACTGAAAGAGAAAAAATAGAGCATCTATATCACAGACTTCATCTTGAAGGCAGGCGCAACAACAAACTAAGAGCTGCAGATGTTCTTCAGATAAAGGCACATTCATTACAGTTCCATGAGTCTTGTGCTGAAGAGGAGTTGATTCTGAGTTTCCTAGAAAAACTACTGATGATGGACTACAGAGCAAGATACATTAAAACTAAAGAGACCAATGAGGAAGATCACACACAACAAAGCGACAATGACTCACCTGAAGATGAGAGTGATATCTTCAAAGCAATATATTTGTCTGAAAAAGGAACAAGACAATCTGAGCGAATTGACCCGATGGATGTTCAGATGGCCGTGTTTCATTGTGCTGATGGTTTCCTTAAGCAGCTGATAGTGACTAAACTGTCCCAGTGTCAGTACGCTCTACCTCTGCTTGTTCCTGATCCATTCACACAACGGCTCGAGTTTCCTCTCTGGACATTTAGACAAATCAACAAGAGCTGGAAAATGAGAAACAACAACAGTGAAATCATCAGTCACATCCAGCCGATCTACAAGGCACAAACTCCGATGGTGCCTTTCTTCAGGTTTGGCTCTGTGTCTTCATCCAAGTCTCATCTGATGAACAGTCTGATCAATGAGAAACACAACACGTTCTTCCACAGGAACTGCCCAGGCAGCAGCAGTACCAGAGTCCTGATGGATGGAGTGGTGGAGATTGCCTGGTTCTGCCCCTCTGGGAAAAACACAGATAAATTTGCTAACTGTGTTGCGTTCTGCAATCTTCATGGTGATGCAGGAGACCATGAGAAACAGCTGCAGATCCTCACTGAAATGACCTCAGTCAATGTTGTTCTTCTACCACGACTGGACAGGAATGATAGACATACAACAACAATCCAAAACCTATACAGGAGTGCAAAGCCACTCATTTGCCTTTTTACTGAAGATGAATGTACTGTAACTGAGATGAAGAAAGGGAAATACAAAATCGGTTTGAAAGACCGGAATCAGTCAGATGTATCTGAAGAACTCAGAAAAACTATAAATGATTGTCTCTCAGAATCATCTTCTGCTTTCAGACTTGAAGATGTGTCCAAACACTCAGACATCAGAGTAGATGAGGAAGATGATGATGGCTGCAGGGGAGGAAGAGTAGCAGCACAGCAGATGATTCATTTACTGGAGAAGAAAGACCTGACAAAGGTCAAAGAATCATTTCTGCCCTGTCAGGGGAAACTGTGGCATCGGTGGAGTCAGAAGAACAAAGAACTACATCGACCTCAAGCAGATATAACAGAAAATGAAATAAGTAGAAAACGAACAGAAATGGGCAAAATCCGTGAAGAGCAACATGAATCTGATGTCAGCAAGTTTATGAAGCTCTTTATTAAAGAAATGAATTCAGATTCTGCAAACAAGATGTTTTTCCTCAAATGGCTCGGAATCTTTCTTGATGAATATATATCAGATGACCTTTATGCTCTACATCACAAGTATGATGAAAAGTGGTCGACAGTGTTAAAACTGAAAGAGAGCCAAGACAAATCTGAACATCTCAAAGCTGAACAAGCTGACCTTGAGAGAATATCTGAGGAACTTCAAGCTGCAGCCTTTGGATTGGAGCACATCATGAGGGAGATCGGTCAAATCTATGAATCGTGTTCATCTGTGAGGAAGAACAAGAAAGACCTGCAGTCTGACTTTTCTTCTCTCCCGAGTCTTGCAGCAGAGATGATGATCTCTGGATTTCCACTGGAACTGATGGATGGAGATGCTGCTCATGTTCCTGTAATCTGGGTCTCTGCTGTTCTAGATCAACTCGTCCAGAAACTGGGAGACCAGAGAGTCTTTGTGCTGTCAATTTTAGGGATCCAGAGCTCTGGGAAATCCACCATGCTCAATGCCATGTTTGGACTCCAGTTTGCTGTCAGCGCTGGCAGGTGCACCAGAGGAGCTTTCATGCAGCTGGTCAGAGTCTCAGACGAGATGAGAACAATGCTCACCTGTGACTATATTCTAGTTGTTGATACTGAGGGTCTTCGTGCTCTAGAACTGGCTGGAAGGTCAACAAGACATCATGACAATGAACTGGCCACATTTGTTGTTGGTCTTGGAAATCTGACACTGATCAACATCTTTGGTGAAAACCCATCTGAGATACAGGACATTCTTCAGATTGTTGTTCAGGCCATCCTGAGGATGAAGAAGGTCAGACTGAATCCCAGCTGTGTGTTTGTGCATCAGAACGTGTCGGACATCACAGCTGGAGAGAAAAACATGGAGGGAAGGAGACGACTGCAGGAGAAACTGGACGAGATGACAAAACTCGCTGCTAAAGATGAAGTCTGTGATGCAGAACGTTTCAGTGATATCATTAAATTTGATGTTCAGAAAGATGTGAAGTATTTTGCTCAGCTTTGGGAGGGCAGCCCACCGATGGCACCACCAAACCCAAACTACTGTGAGAACATTCAAGAACTGAAGAAAACTATTATGTCTCATGCCTCAAAATCACATGGAATGAGGCTGACACACTTGAAAGATCGTATTAAAGATCTCTGGGAGGCTTTACTGAAGGAACGATTCGTCTTCAGCTTCAGAAATTCTCTGGAGATCTCAGCCTACAGGAAACTGGAGACTGAATACAGCAAGTGGTCCTGGAGTCTTCGCAGAGCCATGATGGAAACTGAGAACGAGTTACACAACAAAATAGAAAATGAAGCAATTCATGAGATTGAGGAAACTGATCTTCAGAGAGAACTGAAGAAGACAAATGAAGAAGTGGAAAAATCAATGTCAGAGTTCTTTGAAAAAGACACAGATGCCGATTTACTGATTCAGTGGAAAATGTCATTTAAAACCAAAATCAAAGATGTTCAGGAAAACATTGTGAGAGAGACAAAGAGGAAATTAAATGAGGTTCTTCAGCAGCGAGACCTGAGGAAAAAGATCGATGCTCAGAGGACACATCATGAAAACACTCTCTTGGAAAAGAGCAAAGAACTTGCCTTAAAACTCAAAGACAAAGCAAATGATGAAGAAACAGTGAAGAAAGAGTTTGATTTGTTTTGGAAACGGTGTGTGAAAAACATCATCAGAGACACTCCTGCAATCAAAGAGATTGACATATTGACAGATGTAAGAATCCTCCTCAGTGACATCTATAATAGTGCTCCTGTAGACCACTGGGGGGAGAGCAAGGATATTTTCAAAGTACTGAGTTTTTCTGATTATGTGAAGGTAAAGAAATCCAGTGGAATTACCGGAGCTATCACAAATGTTTACAGATCAGCTAAAGAGAAGTTGGGTTACATTCTATCTAAAGAGGACGAGGCCCAAATAAGATCATTTGTCACAGATGTTACTCTGCAGACAGACAAAATGATTCAGTCATTTAACATTTCAAAGATGGGCTACAACAAAAGCTGCATTCAACAACTCACAGATTACATCAAGGCAAGAGAAACCGAACACGAGGAAGCATCAGTGCACTATGTGTTCAAGAATGAATTCTTCATGGATTTGGTTCTGTCCATCTCTAAGAGAGCAAACAAGATGATCACTGGCCAACACAGACTGTTCAGGGAAGCCAATGATCCTGTAATATATGTTGAGAAGAAGAGAAAAGAATACTATAGTGTTTTCCAGAAACACCTCCATGGAGCTGCATCAGCTGTCATTTTTGGTGAGATCATCTGTCAGAAACTCAGAGAGCCTGTTAAGCAAAGTGTCTACAAGAAGACTGCCAGAGATTTATCAGATGACATTCAAACAGACTGTGAATCACTGAATGGAAACAGATCCAATCTGGAGATACACATCCTGAAGACACTGGCAGAAGAGGAGGATTTCAACCAATACATGAACTACATTCGCAATCCCAGAGATCACTTTAAGAGTTTCATCAGACATGAAGTCAGTCAGTTTATCACTGGTAAGTTCAGTGTCAGTGTTTTACCCAAGATGAAGAAGAACATTGAACTCCTGCAGCAGAAGATCATGGACGCAGCAAATGAATCTACTGAACATGTTCAAGTGAACAGTGGAGATGTTGGTTTGTGGTTGAAGGGTTTCACAGAGGAGCTCTCAGGTGTGCTGATCTTCTCTGAAAAAGAACTCAGTGGAGTCGAACACGATGATGTTGATGATTTCAACCTCCTAGAAGATGTGATAAGAAAAGAACTCCCTGCTATAATGACTGACATCAGTAAAGAGTTTAACATACATGCATTTGATGAAAAACTGGACATCAAGTTCAGGCCAGATGAGCTTCTGATTGATCACTTCTGTCAGTGCTGTTGGGTTCAGTGTCCGTTCTGTACAGCCATCTGCACCAACACCACCAAAGATCATCCTGGAGATCACAATGTTCGCTTCCATCGAGTGGATGGGATCAAAGGTTGGCATTACCATCAAACAGAGCATCTCAGTGCTGATATTTGCACAACTTTAGTGTCAAGTGGTAAAAGGTTTTGTGCATCAAATGAGTGGTTTCCATATAAAGAATACAGAAGAGCAGGAGGTGTTTATGCAAAGTGGAGCATCACCTTTGATACCTCTGAGCTGCCATACTGGAAATGGTTTGTGTGCAGGTTCCAGAAAGATCTGGAAAAGTACTACAATAAAAAATTCCAGGGTCAGGGTGAGATCCCAAATGAATGGAAAAAGCTCACAAAACAGCGTGCAATTGAGAGTTTGTTTGAATACTTTCAAATTAAATAAACAAACAGAGCAGAACGTATATGTGCAGAACATAATATAAAGTATAAACATGCCATTCCTGGATGTATTCAAAAATGTTAAGTTTCCTACTTAATATTGGTCTGAAGTGTTGTGTTTCCATATCACAACTAAATGGAAAGTTTGAAGATGTGTTATGTTGAGATTGTTGTAACTCTCTCTCGCTCGGGACAAGTTCTTGTCAGTACTTTTTTTTCTTTAAGAGTAACTTGTGTAACAGTGTTAAAAATGTTCCTGTGAATGTTATGTCTTTCACCAAAATGTCTATATTTTTGTTCAGTTAATTATTGTTGTGCGACCTCCAGTGTCAACATTAAGTAAAGACTTTTACCTGTGAAACCACTACCTTCCCCCGAGCAGAGAAGTGTATCTGATGTTGAGAGGGGTAGGTAAATGAGCTCTAGCAAAATGTGTGTTTTTTTAATAGTACGTTAATCTCACAAATAATGTTAAATTGAACGTTCAGTGATGTTGTGTAATATGTTAGTTGATTGTGATTGTATGACCAACATTGTTGTTTAGATTAAATTTGCGTAGCATGACTAACAACATATTTAAATTCAAATGTAAGTGAATCTCTTTTTTTTTTGTATATATATATATATATATACAGTATATGTATAAATGCCCACTGTATCACCAGAGAAAATATATTTCTCCTTGTGTTACAGAATAAACAACGCATGCATCGAAAGCTCTAGTGTCTGTCTGGTGATTAGCGTTACATTTGTACAAGTTTTACTGAGAAATTTTTATGTGCTCTATGTATGTTTATCAGTGTTTATAAAATATAAAATAAAATATATGTAACAGTGAGGCTGAGGCGGCGTTAGAATCCATATGCAGAAGTTTATTAATAGAAGACTTGAGTGGCAGAAACGTTAGGCCAGGCAGAGGGTCAATACCATAGCATCAGTCCAATCTTTCAACATACACAAGGGAGATCCAAAAGGCAGAGACGAGTAAGCAGGTGAAAGGTCCAAACACAATCATCAGTCCAAATCAGGCTATCAATCCAAAGGGGTAATTCAGTAAACGTAGAGCAGATAATCAGGCAGAAAACAATGGAAACGCTTGGTAAGGCAGGTAAACTGGAAATACTTCGCAATGAGCAAACACACAGGCTGCGTCCGAAACCGCCTACTCAATGAGTAGGTACTTAATTTCAATAAGTACTTATTTAGCGAGTGCTAAAAGAGTAGGTACTCTACAGCCAAATCTCGTTAAGTATGAATGAGATCCGGACTTCATCCGCCATGTTGACGTTATCATGTGATCTACGACGTTATAACAAGCGCAACAGATACGAGGACAGGTTTAATTGATCTCTCTGTAAATATTTTGATGTTTATGAAATTTCCTCATTTTGTGGTCTTGTTGAAGAAACAGCTGCCCTTTTATTGTGATTGTAGTATAACCAATACATTTTTGGTTGATTTAAAATTTTTATATATTTAACCCAACTAATATGACCCACAGTTGAATCCTTAAATATATTATTTTTCCTTACGATAACCCAAAATTGTTATCTCTTTCATATATATATTTTATGTTCAATATTTTTCATCCACAAACAAAACCGGCATAAAACTCCTTTGTTTTCCTCTTTTTCTTGTTGAATTGAACTCTCTTGTTTCATCCCTCCGGCTTACAAACAACAACAACAACAACCAATGCAATATTTTGATGCATTGATTATATGAATATTATGATTAAAGATATTTAACCTTGTCATTGTGCCTCTTTTTCTGTGTATATAATCTCATACTATGATGTATGCAAACCCATTATATTTATGTTTTCTGCTGTTTGTCATTATGATTGTTCATTGTTAAAGATACTACCATCTTTCCCTGAGCTTGTATGTAATTATAAGTTCTGCAGTATTAATAAAAAAAGAACATAAGAGGGACAGGTGCACTAACACCTCACAGCATCAGTAACTCCACAAGCCTACTTAGTACAGTTTTCCTCAGCGTTTGCAATATTTGTAATATCTGTACAAAGGAGACGTCGATCAGCTGCTCAAAGATCTTGTCTTTGGAGAAGACTATTAATTTTACATTCGAAAAATGTAAGTATTACTACTTAAAAATTAAGATTACCCCAGAATGCATTGCTAGCCCACCCCAACATTTATGAACAACACACTAGACAAACGCAGCCAAGGTGAATACATCTCAATCAGTCAAGTAATGAATGCACAAGTTAATGAAACAATTATATACAGGAAACATAAATAAATGCGTAAAAGAATAAACAAAAGTAACCATGACAATAAATAAATATCATCGTCACATGAAAAGTCATCAACACATGAAGCAAAGCTTTATTCAAACATATTGTTCTAACAAACATGTATTTACAGACGATGAGCCCACATCTACTGCATCTCAACACAGCTGAGACAGTTCTGCAGCTTTATTCTGCTGAAGCAGCTGACCACCGTGTCCACCTTCAGCTGTCTCTGCCGTCCATCACGACCCTCACTGCTGCAGTCAGACTGAATCTGATCATGGATGAGAAAGGGACATCGAGGCTGTCATAGCCTGAGTGCACAGAGAGGATGCGGCCCCCCGTACCACACAATCTTGAAGCAAGAGCAGGTGAACACA